ACCACTGAGCTATGGCGGCGACTGAAAAGACTGAAACAAGACAATGTGTGGATTTGATTAACTACTTTCACTCGTTCGGATTTGATTGATTGTTGATAGAGCAAAAGCAGTTAAAGACAGCAATTAAGCCACCAGTGAGGATCGAACTCGCGACCCCTGCTTTATGAGAGCAATGCACTAACCAATGAACTATGGCGTTGACTGAAACTATGCATGGAACAAGGTAATGTGTAGATTTCATTAACTAATTGTAGGATTTGTTGTTTCATTTACTCGATAGATAAGACATAAAAAAAACAATGAACCAAAGCCACCAGTGAGGATCGAATTCTCGACCCCTGGTTTACGAACCAGTACCCTAACCACTGAGCTATGGCGGCGACTAAAATCGCGAATGAAACACGACAATGTGTGGATTTGATTAACTAATTTCACTCGTTCGGATCCGATTGGCGCCAACTGAAACTATGCATGGAACAAGACAATGTATAGATTTCATTAACTATGAATGTCAATTTTGTTATTCCTTTATAGATAGACAATACAAAGGGAGCATCCAAAACCTCCAGTGAGGATCGAACTCACGACCTTGGGTTTACAAAACCAGCGCCCTAACAGCTGAGCTATGGCTGCGACTGAAAACGCGGGTGGAACATGACAATGTGTGGATTTGATTGATTGGTTGATAAAGCAAAAGCAGGCAAAGACAACAATACAGCCACCAGCGAGATTCGAACTCGCGACCCCTGCTTTACGAGAGCAGTGCTCTAACCACTGAGCTATGGCGGCGTCGAGAATGCAAATGGAACGAAACAATTTATAGATTTCAATGACTAATTGCCATTTTCTTATTTTCTTGATAGATAGACATCACGGAACGAGCATGCAAAGCCACCAGTGAGGATCGAACTCGCGACTCCTATTTAATGAGAGCAGTGCATTAACCAATGAACTATGGCGTTGACTTAAACTATGCATGGAACAAGATTATGTGTAGATTTCATTAACAAATTGTAAGGTTTGATGTTTCATTTACTTGCTAGATGGACATCAAAAAACTAGGAACCAAAGCCACCAGTGAGGATCGAACTCACGAGCCCTGGTTTACAAGACCAGTGCTCTAACCACTGAGCTATGGCGGCGACTGAAAACGCTAATGAAACAAGACAATGTGTAGATTTGATTATCTACTTTTACTTGTTCGGATTTGATTTATTGGTGGATATACCAAGAGAAGCCGTCCAAAACAGCAATGAAGTCACCAGCGAGGTTCCAACTCGCGACTCCTGCTTCACGACAGCAGTGCACAAACCAATGAACTATGGCGTCGACTGAAACTATCCGTGGAAGAAGATAATGTATAGATTTCGTTAAATATTTGTCATTTTTTTATTTCTTGAAAGACAGACATAAACAAAAGGGACATCCAAAGCCACCAGTGAGGATCGAACTCACGACCCCTGGTTTGCAAGACCAGTGCTCTAACCACTGAGCTATGGCGGCGACTCAACACGCGAAGGAAACAAGACAATGTGTAGATTTGATTAACTAATTTCACTCGTTCGGATTTGATTGGCGCCGACTGAAACTATGCATGGAACAAGATAATGTATAGATTTCATTAACTAATTGTAAGGTTTGTTGTTTCATTTAAACGATAGATGGACATCAAAAAACTAGGAACCAAAGCCACCAGTGAGGATCGAACTCACGACCCCTGGTTTACAAGACCAGTGCTCTAACCACTGAGCTATGGCGGCGACTGAAAACGCTAATGAAACAAACAATGTTTGGATTTGATTAACTAATTCCACTCGTTCGGATTTGATTGGCGCCGACTATGGCGCCGACTGAAACTATTCATGGAACAAGATAATGTATAGATTTCAGTAACTAATTGTCAGGTGTGTTGTTTCATTTTCTCGATAGATAAGACATAAAAAACAAAGAACCAAAGCCACCAGTGAGGATCGAACTCACGACCCCTGGTTTACGGGACCAGTGCCCTTACCACTGAGCTATGGCGGCGACTAAAATCGCGAATGAAACAATACAATGTGTGGATTTGATTAACTAATTTCACTCGTTCGGATCCGATTGGCGCCAACTGAAACTATGCATGGAGCAAGACAATGCATAGATTTCATTAACTATGAATGTCATTTTTTTAATTTCTGATAGATAGACAACACAAAGGGAGCATCCAAAGCCTCCAGTGAGGATCGACTTCACGACACTTGGTTACAAGACCAGCGCCCTAACAGCTGAGCTATGGCTGCGACTGAAAACGCGGGGTGGAACGTGACAATGTGTGGATTTGATTGATTGGTTGATAAAGCAAAGCAGTCAAAGACAACAATACAGCCACCAGCGAGATTCGAACTCGCGACCCCTGCTTTACGAGAGCAGTGCTCTAACCACTGAGCTATGGCGGCGTCGAAAATGCAAATGGAACGAAACAATTTATAGATTTCAATAACTAATTGCCATTTTCTTATTTTCTTGATAGATAGACATCACGGATCGAGCATGCAAAGCCAACAGTGAGGATCGAACTCACGACCTCTGGTTTACCAGACCAGTGCTCTAATTACGGATGTATGGCGATTATTGAAAAGACCGTTGGAAAAGGACAATGAATAGATTTGATTAACTACTTTCACTCGTTCGGATTCGATTGATTGGTTGATAGAGCAAAAGCAGTTAAAGACAACAATTAAGCCACCAGTGAGGATCGAACTCGCGACCACTGCTTTACGAGAGCAGTGCACTAACCAACGAACTATGGCGTTGACTGAAACTATGCATGGAACAAGATAATGTGTAGATTTCATTAACTAATTGTAAGGTTTGTTGTTTCATTTACTCGATAGATGGATATCAAAAAACTAGGAACCAAAGTGAGGATCGAACTCACGACCCCTGGTTTACGAGACCAGTGCACTAACTACTGAGCTATGGCTGCGACTGAAAACGCGGGTGGAACATCACAATGTGTGGATTTGATTGATTGTTGGTCAAAGACAACAATACAGCCACCAGCGAGATTCGAACTCGCGACCCCTGCTTTACGAGAGCAGTGCTCTAACCACTGAGCTATGGCGTCGACTGAAACTATCCGTGGAAGAAGATAATGTATAGATTTCGTTAAGTAATTGTCATTTTTTTATTTCTTGAAAGACAGACATAAACAAAAGGGACATCCAAAGCCACCAGTGAGAATCGAACTCACGACCCCTGGTTTGCAAGACCAGTGCTCTAACCACTGAGCTATGGCGGCGACTCAACACGCGGAGGAAACAAGACAATGTGTAGATTTGATTAACTAATTTCACACGTTCGGATTTGATTGGCGCCGACTGAAACTATGCATGGAACAAGATAATGTATAGATTTCATTAACTAATTGTAAGGTTTGTTGTTTCATTTAAACGATAGATGGACATCAAAAAACTAGGAACCAAAGCCACCAGTGAGGATCGAACTCACGACCCTGGTTTACAAGACCAGTGCTCTAACCACTGAGCTATGGCGGCGACTGAAAACGCTAATGAAACAAGACAATGTTTGGATTTGATTAACTAATTCCACTCGTTCGGATTTGATTGGCGCCGACTATGGCGCCGACTGAAACTATTCATGGAACAAGATAATGTATAGATTTCAGTAACTAATTGTCAGGTGTGTTGTTTCATTTTCTCGATAGATAAGACATAAAAAAACAAAGAACCAAAGCCACCAGTGAGGATCGAACTCACGACCCCTGGTTTACGGGACCAGTGCCCTTACACTGAGCTATGGCGGCGACTAAAATCGCGAATGAAACAATACAATGTGTGGATTGATTAACTAATTCACTCGTTCGGATCCGATTGGCGCAACTGAAACTATGCATGGAGCAAGACAATGTATAGATTTCATTAACTAAAATGTCATTTTTTAATTTCTTGATAGATAGACAACACAAAGGGAGCATCCAAAGCCTCCAGTGAGGATCGACCTCACGACACTTGGTTTACAAGACCAGCGCCCTAACAGCTGAGCTATGGCTGCGACTGAAAACGCGGGTGGAACGTGACAATGTGTGGATTTGATTGATTGGTTGATAAAGCAAAAGCAGTCAAAGACAACAATACAGCCACCAGCGAGATTCGAACTCGCGACCCCCTCTTTACGAGAGCAGAGCTCTAACCACTGAGCTATGGCGGCGTAAAATGCAAAATGGAACGAAACAATTTATAGATTTCAATAACTAATTGCCATTTTCTTATTTTCTTGATAGATAGACATCACGGATCGAGCATGCAAAGCCAACAGTGAGGATCGAACTCACGACCCCTGGTTTACAAGATCAGTGCTCTAATTACGGATGTGTGGCGATTACTGAAAAGACCGTTGGAAAAGGACAATGAATAGATTTGATTAACTACTTTCACTCGTTCGGATTCGATTGATTGTTTGATAGAGCATAGCAGTTAAAGACAACAATTAAGCCACCAGTGAGGATCGAACTCGCGACCCCTGCTTTACGAGAACAGTGCACTAACCAACGAACTATGGCGTTGACTGAAACTATGCATGGAACAAGATAATGTGTAGATTTCATTAACTAATTTTATGGTTTGTTGTTTCATTTACTCGATAGACGGATATCAAAAAACTAGGAACCAAAGCCACCAGTGAGGATCGAACTCACGACCCCTGGTTCACAAGACCAGTGCTCTAACCACTGAGCTATGGCTGCGACTGAAAAAGCGGGTGGAACATCACAATGTGTGGATTTGATTGATTGGTGGATAATGCAAAAGCAGTCAAAGACAACAATACAGCCACCAGCGAGATTCGAACTCGCGACCCCTGCTTTACGAGAGCAGTGCTCTAACCACTGAGCTATGGCGTCGACTGAAACTATCCGTGGAAGAAGATAATGTATAGATTTCGTTAAATAATTGTCATTTTTTTATTTCTTGAAAGACAGACAAAAACAAAGGGACATCCAAAGCCACCCAGTGAGGATCGAACTCACGACCCCTGGTTTGCAAGACCAGTGCTCTAACCACGGAGCTATGGCGGCGACTCAACACGCGAAGGAAACAAGACAATGTGTAGATTTGATTAACTAATTTCACTCGTTCGGATTTGATTGGCGCCGACTGAAACTATGAATGGAACAAGATAATGTTATAGATTTCATTAACTAATTGTAAGGTTTGTTGTTTCATTTAAACGATAGATGACATCAAAAAACGAGGAACCAAAGCCACCAGTGAGGATCGAACTCACGACCCCTGGTTTACAAGACCAGTGCTCTAACCACTGAGCAATGGCGGCGACTGAAAAACGCTAATGAAACAATACAATGTGTGGATTTGATTAACTAATTCACTCGTTTCGGATTTGATTGGCGCGACTATGGCGCCGACTGAAACTATTCATGAACAAGATAATGTATAGATTCAGTAAACTAATTGTCAGGTGTGTTGTTTCATTTTCTCGATAGATAAGACATAAAAAAAACAAAGAACCAAAGCCACCAGAGAGGATCGAACTCAAGACCCTGGTTTACGGGACCAGTGCCCTTACCACTGAGCTATGGGGCGACTAAAATTCGCGAATGAAACAATACAATGTGTGGATTTGATTAACTAATTTCACTCGTTCGGATCCGATTGGCGCCAACTGAAACTATGCATGGAGCAAGACAATGTATAGATTTCATTAACTATGAATGTCATTTTTTTAATTTCTGATAGATAGACCAACACAAAGGGAGCATCCAAAGCCTCCAGTGAGGATCGACCTCACGACACTTGGTTTACAAGACCAGCGCCCCTAACAGCTGAGCTATGGCTGCGACTGAAAACGCGGGTGGAACGTGACAATGTGTGGATTTGATTGATTGGTTGATAAAGCAAAAGCAGTCAAAGACAACAATACAGCCACCAGCGAGATTCGAACTCGCGACCCCCTCTTTACGAGAGCAGAGCTCTAACCACTGAGCTATGGCGGCGTCGAAAATGCAAATGGAACGAAACAATTTATAGATTTCAATAACTAATTGCCATTTTCTTATTTTCTTGATAGATAGACATCACGGATCGAGCATGCAAAGCCAACAGTGAAGATCGAACTCACGACCCCTGGTTTACAAGATCAGTGCTCTAATTACGGATGTATGGCGATTACTGAAAAGACCGTTGGAAAAGGACAATGAATAGATTTGATTAACTACTTTCACTCGTTCGGATTCGATTGATTGTTTGATAGAGCATAGCAGTTAAAGACAACAATTAAGCCACCAGTGAGGATCGAACTCGCGACCCCTGCTTTACGAGAACAGTGCACTAACCAACGAACTATGGCGTTGACTGAAACTATGCATGGAACAAGATAATGTGTAGATTTCATTAACTAATTGTAAGGTTTGTTGTTTCATTTACTCGATAGATGGATATCAAAAAACTAGGAACCAAAGCCACCAGTGAGGATCGAACTCACGACCCCTGGTTCACAAGACCAGTGCTCTAACCACTGAGCTATGGCTGCGACTGAAAAAGCGGGTGGAACATCACAATGTGTGGATTTGATTGATTGGTGGATAATGCAAAAGCAGTCAAAGACAACAATACAGCCACCAGCAAGATTCGAACTCGCGACCCCTGCTTTACGAGAGCAGTGCTCTAACCACTGAGCTATGGCGTCGACTGAAACTATCCGTGGAAGAAGATAATGTATAGATTTCGTTAAATAATTGTCATTTTTTTATTTCTTGAAAGACAGACAAAAACAAAAGGGACATCCAAAGCCACCAGTGAGGATCGAACTCACGACCCCTGGTTTGCAAGACCAGTGCTCTAACCACGGAGCCATGGCGGCGACTCAACACGCGAAGGAAACAAGACAATGTGTAGATTTGATTAACTAATTTCACTCGTTCGGATTTGATTGGCGCCGACTGAAACCTTGAATGGAACAAGATAATGTATAGATTTCATTAACTAATTGTAAGGTTTGTTGTTTCATTTAAACGATAGATGGACATCAAAAAACGAGGAACCAAAGCCACCAGTGAGGATCGAACTCACGACCCCTGGTTTACAAGACCAGTGCTCTAACCACTGAGCAATGGCGGCGACTGAAAACGCTAATGAAACAATACAATGTGTGGATTTGATTAACTAATTCCACTCGTTCGGATTTGATTGGCGCCGACTATGGCGCCGACTGAAACTATTCATGGAACAAGATAATGTATAGATTTCAGTAACTAATTGTCAGGTGTGTTGTTTCATTTTCTCGATAGATAAGACATAAAAAAACAAAGAACCAAAGCCACCAGAGAGGATCGAACTCAAGACCCCTGGTTTACGGGACCAGTGTCCTTACCACTGAGCTATGGCGGCGACTAAAATCGCGAATGAAACAATACAATGTGTGGATTTGATTAACTAATTTCACTCGCTCGGATCCGATTGGCGCCAACTGAAACTATGCATGGAGCAAGACAATGTATAGATTTCATTAATCATGAATGTCATTTTTTTAATTTCTTGATAGATAGACAACACAAAGGGAGCATCCGAAGCCTCCAGTGAGGATTGACCTCACGACACTTGGTTTACAAGTCCAGCGCCCTAACAGCTGAGCTATGGCTGCGACTGAAAACGCGGGTGAAACGTGACAATGTGTGGATTTGATTGATTGGTTGATAAAGCAAAAGCAGTCAAAGACAACAATACAGCCACCAGCGAGATTCGAACTCGGGACCCCTGCTTTACGAGAGCAGTGCTCTAACCACTGAGCTATGGCGGCGTCGAAAATGCAAATGGAACGAAACAATTTATAGATTTCAATAACTAATTGCCATTTTCTTATTTTCTTGATAGATAGACATCACGGATCGAGCATGCAAAGCCAACAGTGAGGATCGAACTCACGACCCCTGGTTTACAAGATCAGTGCTCTAATTACGGATGTATGGCAATTACTGAAAAGACCGTTGGAAAAGGACAATGAATAGATTTGATTAACTACTTTCACTCGTTCGGATTCGATTGATTGGTTGATAGAGCAAAAGCAGTTAAAGACAACAATTAAGCCACCAGTGAGGATCGAAATCGCGACCCCTTATTTACGAGAACAGTGCACTAACCAACGAACTATGGCGTTGACTGAAACTATGCATGGAACAAGATAATGTGTAGATTTCATTAACTAATTGTAAGGTTTGTTGTTTCATTTACTCGATAGATGGATATCAAAAAACTAGGAACCAAAGCCACCAGTGAGGATCGAACTCACGACCCCTGGTTCACAAGACCAGTGCTCTAACCACTGAGCTATGGCTGCGACTGAAAACGCGGGTGGAACATCACAATGTGTGGATTTGATTGATTGGTGGATAATGCAAAAGCAGTCAAAGACAACAATACAGCCACCAGCGAAATTCGAACTCGCGACCCCTGCTTTACGAGAGCAGTGATCTAACCACTGAGCTATGGCGTCGACTGAAACTATCCGTGGAAGAAGATAATGTATAGAATTCGTTAAATAATTGTCATTTTTTTATTTCGTGAAAGACAGACATAAACAAAAGGGACATCCAAAGCCACCAGTGAGGATCGAAATCACGACCCCTGGTTTGCAAGACCAGTGCTCTAACCACTGAGCTATGGCGGCGACTCAACACGCGAAGGAAACAAGACAATGTGTAGATTTGATTAACTAATTTCACTCGTTCGGATTTGATTGGCGCCGACTGAAACTATGCATGCAACAAGATAATGTATAGATTTCATTAACTAATTGTAAGGTTTGTTGTTTCATTTAAACGATAGATGGACATCAAAAAACTAGGAACCAAAGCCACCAGTGAGGATCGAACTCACGACCCCTGGTTTACAAGACCAGTGCTCTAACCACTGAGCTATGGCGGCGACTGAAAACGCTAATGAAACAAGACAATGTTTGGATTTGATTAACTAAATCCACTCGTTCGGATTTGATTGGCGCCGACTATGGCGCCGACTGAAACTATTCATGGAACAAGATAATGTATAGATTTCAGTAACTAATTGTCAGGTGTGTTGTTTCATTTTCTCGATAGATAAGACATAAAAAAACAAAGAACCAAAGCCACCAGTGAGGATCGAACTCACGACCCCTGGTTTACGGGACCAGTGCCCTTACCACTGAGCTTTGGCGGCGACTAAAATCGCGAATGAAACAATACAATGTGTGGATTTGATTAACTAATTTCACTCGTTCGGATCCGATTTGCGCCAACTGAAACTATGCATGGAGCAAGACAATGTATAGATTTCATTAACTATGAATGTCATTTTTTTAATTTCTTGATAGATAGACAACACAAAGGGAGCATCCAAAGCCTCCAGTGAGGATCGACCTCACGACACTTGGTTTACAAGACCAGCGCCCTAGCAGCTGAGCTATGGCTGCGACTGAAAACGCGGGTGGAACGTGACAATGTGTGGATTTGATTGATTGGTTGATAAAGCAAAAGCAGTCAAAGACAACAATACAGCCACCAGCGAGATTCGAACTCGCGACCCCTGCTTTACGAGAGCAGTGCTCTAATCACTGAGCTATGGCGGCGTCGAAAATGCAAATGGAACGAAACAATTTATAGATTTCAATAACTAATTGCCATTTTCTTATTTTCTTGATAGATAGACATCACGGATCGAGCATGCAAAGCCAACAGTGAGGATCGAACTCACGACCCCTGGTTTACATGACCAGTGCTCTAATTACGGATGTATGGCGATTACTGAAAAGATCGTTGGAAAAGGACAATGAATAGATTTGATTAACTACTTTCACTCGTTCGGATTCGATTGATTGGTTGATAGAGCAAAAGCAGTTAAAGACAACAATTAAGCCACCAGTGAGGATCGAACTCGCGACCACTGCTTTACGAGAGCAGTGCACTAACCAACGAACTATGACGTTGACTGAAACTATGCATGGAACAAGATAATGTGTAGATTTCATTAACTAATTGTAAGGTTTGTTGTTTCATTTACTCGATAGATGGATATCAAAAAACTAGGA